CAACGTGGTCACTCTTCCTATACCAGTGGTACCTCCGGGGAGTACTCCTCGAGTAAAGACGCTCTCTATCCTTCAGATAGTGCCGCCTCGAACAACAAACGCACGGGCAGTACCCCAGCCACCATCTGTCAGTCCGCATTCAACAACAAGACTTACTTCACCACCAGTAGTACAAAAAATGACTGTCAAACGTCAAATTTTGGATATGCCACAACAAATAGCTTATGTGACTCAGCAAGAAGTCAGTCATGTAGTGGCCAGGGATATGACACAACAGGAATTAACATCTGCCAAGCCTCAGGAAGTCAGTCTAACGTTGAAGGATATGGCTCAACATGACCTCCAGACTACGTCTCAGAATATTCGAGAACCCAGTCCTTCAAACAGTCAGACTCTAACAGAAGCTGGGACGAGGGGGATGGACCGACTTATTCAGGCAGCTCGAAATTTCGATGCTCGCCAAAAGGAGAAGCACAATATAACCGTTCAGAAGCAGCGAATCCAAGCAGGCACCTCCAGGACACACAACTCATACTACAGGCCTCGCCAGAAATGAAGTGCACGCTACAGGAAGTCGGCCAGGGTCAACCATCTTCATCAACTCAGGCAGCATCGTTACAAAAGGACATCCCAATCGCGTCTCCCATGAAGACACATCAGATATTAACAGAAATCTATCCTTGGACGCTAGAAGGGAGCAGACTGAGCACACCATCCCCAGAATTTGCTCAGTTAGTGCAACAGATAACAACAGAGGTTCACAATCCTTCGACGTTGCAGGAGGACAGCCCGGTTCAACAAATAGAGACCAGTCCACCTCAGTTGCCACTAGAGGACTTGATGGATCAACTGTCTTCCTTACAAGAAACTGATCCAACATCACCATATCAATCCGCCTCGATCACTGCCAGAGGAACTATTTCAGATCTAAAACCTGGATCACTTAGTCAGTCATATAACTCAAAAACCAACAGCATGCCGACTACACCTCCACGGAGTCGCACAAACTTCCAGTAGAGATGAATCTTCGTCTCCAACAAGAAATCAGTCCTTCTCCTACCCTGTTAGGCAGTTCATCTCTGCATGCGATGGAAAAGGATCATCTGCCTCCACAACCCATCTGCCACAAAGTCAGTCCTTCTAAATCAGAACCTACAGTCATAGATCCTCAAAAACTCCGTCGACTACAGGGCACCTTATCATGGAAACAACGAAGATGCGGCGATGCAGCAAATCCAACCAGAATCGGACATGACATTTGATCTTTTTATGGCTCACAATGCTAATGGCCATTCGATTTCTGGTATGTTGTCACAGTCCTAGACGGCTACCTCCTGGAAGGAGTGTGGATTGTTACTTCTTAAGAACTCCTACTGCAAGAAAGGGCAGTCGTGCCGATATCGAGATCCACCGCCAATAAGACATTCCGGGACGGAATGACTTTACCGAGGGGCAGTGTGACGATAATAGATAGTACTGTTGGCGCCATCTATTAGGAACTCTCCTTCTCGTACCAGTGACTCGCCTTCTAGATCTACGCCAGGTGACCTCAAATATTCTAGATGCCGCTTTGTCGCTCGCCAAACCTCTCTCGAAGCAGCGATTCGGAGTATATATAACTCGACGGCCGGGAGATGGAAGCACGGTGCGGGGTACATTAGAGTAGAGCGGAGTGGAGTGCAATCAATGGCGCGGCATAAGAATTAGTTAGACATAAATAGTGGTGTACATAAATGTTCTATCTGGTCAAGTAAAGTAAAGAAGTGCATTTATTTTTGTGGAATCTCGAGTTTTAATCCACACCCAAAAGAACCCAGAAAAACACTACATTATATTCTGCGGTACAAGGGATTATATATTGAATGTATTTCGAATAAAAGACCATCCGCCTTTTGATGCACCAGGTAAGTATTCTAGAAATATAAGTTAACGAATGCAACAAATCCTTCAAAAGGCAACCCTAGCTTAAACTCATACAGATGTCACTCTTTATTGACAAAGTTTAATTCTGGCAAATCAATATTTCGTCTACAGCTTAGACTATGTGTGTGGTGTGGACATGTAATTATATTTTTCAATACAATACATCTGGTAGTAACAAACAGCATGTGACCACAAAGAATACTGCAAAGCTTGATCGTGAGACTGAAGAACTGAAACACGAAACCATTCCATTGGACGTTGGCAAGTTGATTCAGCAAGGGCGTCAAGCTAAAGGACTCAGACAGAAGGATCTTGCTACAAAAATCAATGAGAAACCACAGGTGATTACTGATGAACGGATTGCGAGCAAGAGGGTCAGCGTGTCGCGCGTGCCAGAAGGGCTACATATTTTAAGTTTAATTAAGATTCCCTATTTCCAATACGTTTATATCTATAGGGGTTCAGTGAATACAGTGTCTCGCAACTTAATCGTGGTATTATTGTCTCAGCCGTTACCTTACCCTTGATGGTAGAGAGTCTCCCCAAAAACAGCTGACTCAAGATCTAGAAGGCGAGTCACTGGTACGAGAAGGAGAGTCTCCTAATAGATGACGCCAACAGTACTATCTATTATCGTCACACTGCCCCCTCGGTAAAGTCATTCCGTCCCGGAATGGTCTTATTGGCGGTGGATCTCGATATCGGCACGACTGCCCTTTCTTGCAGTAGGAGTTCTTAAGAAGTAACAATCCACACTCCTTCCAGGAGGTAGCCATCTAGGACTGTGACAACATACCAGAAATCGAATGGGCATTAGCATTGTGAGCCATAAAAAGATCAAATGTCATGTCCGATTCTGGTTGGATTTGCTGCATCGCCGCATCTTCGTTGTTTCCATGATAAGGTGCCCTGTAGTCGACGGAGTTTTTGAGGATCTATGACTGTAGGTTCTGATGGAGAAGGACTGACTTTGTGGCAGATGGGTTGTGGAGGCAGATGATCCTTTCCATCGCATGCAGAGATGAACTGCCTAACAGGGTAGGAGAAGGACTGATTTCTTGTTGGAGACGAAGATTCATCTCTACTGGAAGTTTGTGCGACTCCTGTGGAGGTGTAGTCGGCATGCTGTTGGTTTTTGAGTTATATGACTGACTAAGTGATCCAGGTTTTCGATCTGAAATAGTTCTCTAGCAGTGATCGAGGCGGATTGATATCTGGTGATGTTGGATCGGTTTCTTGTAAGGAAGACAGTTGATCCATCAAGTCCTCTAGTGGCAACTGAGGTGGACTGGTCTCTATTTGTTGAACCGGGCTGTCCTCCTGCAACGTCGAAGGATTGTGAACCTCTGTTGTTATCTGTTGCACTAACTGAGGCAAATTCTGGGGATGGTGTGCTCAGTCTGCTCCCTTCTAGCGTCCAAGGATAGATTTCTGTTAATATCTGATGTGTCTTCATGGGAGACACGATTGGGATGTCCTTTTGTAACGATGCTGCCTGAGTTGATGAAGATGGTTGACCCTGTCCGACTTCCTGTAGCGTGCACTTCATTTCTAGCGAGGGCCTGTAGTATGAGTTGTGTGTCCTGGAGGTTGCCTGCTTGGATTCGCTGCTTCTGAACAGTTATATTGTGCTTCTCCTTTTGGCGAGCATCGAAATTCCGAGTTGCCTGAATAAGTCGGTCCATCCCCCTCGTCCCAGCTTCTGTTAGAGTCTGACTGTTTGAAGGACTGGGTTCTCGAACATTCTGAGACGTAGACTGGAGGTCCTGTTGAGCCATATCCTTCAACGTTAGACTGACTTCCTGAGGCTTGGCAGATGTTAATTCCTGTTGTGTCATATCCCTGGCCACTACATGACTGACTTCTTGCTGAGTCACATAAGCTATTTGTTGTGGCATATCCAAAATTTGACGTTTGACAGTCATTTTTTGTACTACTGGTGGTGAAGTAAGTCTTGTTGTTGAATGCGGACTGACAGATGGTGGCTGGGGTACTGCCCGTGCGTTTGTTGTTCGAGGCGGCACTATCTGAAGGATAGAGAGCGTCTTTACTCGAGGAGTACTCCCCGGAGGTACCACTGGTATAGGAAGAGTGACCACGTTGACTGGAATTGGAGATACTACCGCTTTGCTTCTCAGAACTGATTTGGAACTGGATCCCTGATGTTCCCTTGGCTGAGGCAGACTGACCTCCTTGGCCGTAGTTTTTACTAGGCTGGCCGCAGGTACTTCTGCCTGGAGTTCTGGGAATGTTGATAGTAAACTGGTTTCCTGAAATAGGCATGGCTGATGCTGAGCCAAGGTAATCACCTTGGGTTGCAGAATGTTGGCTCGCTGTTTGGAAGGTGTCACTGCTGTTGATGCTTTGCTGGTCTGGGGTAAAACCGCTTGACTTTTTGCGATTATTAATTCTGAGCTGGTTCCCCGAGGTTGAGGTACATCCGCTGTACTGAGCCACACAGGTGTTTCACTCGTAGTAATAGTGGTTCCTTGTGGTGCTGGGCTGAGGATCCGTAATTTTGTCGTTCCTTACAGGCTGAGGTGTACTCGGTCCTTTTGAGGTGTTGGGTTGAGTGTCGTGAACTTGCAGAGTCTTGCTGATTGGTTGTGGGCTTATCAAACTTTGTGGTATCGTGTTGCGTACCAACTGCTGGCCGATAGCTGGCGTTTGAGACTGAGTTTCCACTGAAGTTATTGGATGTGAGTCTTGAATCTTGGGAGACAGTGTGCTTGGACGTGGTGCGGATTGAAGCAGCGGAGGGATAGCTCCTACTTGCGAATTCACTGGTGCCACCTCGTTGATTGGGTTTTCCAGCACTGGTTGCGTTTGCCGAGAGCGCAGCAGTAATTTCTGTTCCAATGAGAGCGCAGTACTGGTTTCTTTCTGGGAGCTTGGAGGTACTTACCTTGATTTGATGAGTTGACTTTGATGATTTTAGTATCAGAGGCGTATGCTTCCGCGTAATGGTTCTTGGTTGACTTCGTGGCGGGTATTGAGCAATGACCTGAGACATTTTTATTCTTTCCTTGGGTATGCTTATGAGAACTTTCTTCTGAGAGCTGCTGATATCCAGATTTTATCTGGATGAACTGAACGAGAGCCTGTTTTGTGTTTCTTTGTTCAATGTTTGTTCTGTTGGTTTTACAGATACTATCTCCTTGAGAGGTTGTTGCTCCATGGATTCTTTTCTGTTTTCTGATGTAATTTTTTTAATATATCCTTTAGCGTTATTTCATTACTTTCATTTCCTTTGCCACTTGCCCACGAAGTTGGCGCAATGTGGCAAGTTTTACGTTTTTTGACTCATCTGTGGCTGTCGAAGTCGAAGGCTGAGGTTCGCTAGAAGAAGGCTTGAACTGTTTTTCAGGCGTGCCTTCGTTCGAATCCTTATCCTTGTGCCTTTTTAATGCCGGTCTAAATTCTCTCAGGGTTTTGAAGGTCGTGGGATCGAATTTTTTCGGCAGTGTATTCAGTAACGGTAAAAAGAAGTCTCCGGCACCGTCACTTCCAAGACTGTACGGTCGTGAGTCCTGTGACATCGAATCTTCGCTATTTGACGGCGATTCTTCATCAGAAACAAAATTCTGATCTAAATACTGTTCGTATCCTCTCTCAATACCAGCAAGCTCATCCAGTGGTTCTGTCTTGATATTTTTAAACATAGAGTAATCTATGTCAACAAATTTCAGCTCAGTGACTAAATTCTTAGCATTCTGCGGGTCATGCAAGTACATTTTGCAAATTCTATGGAGGTCGTCCCAAGGCAGGTATCAACTGAGTACTTGATACCTCGGGTTCGATAGACATACCACCAGATCGTCGCATAACGGCTCAGATATTCCTAAAACGGGATTCTGGAGTGCTTCGTGCAGGGTCATGTTGATCTTTGGCAATTCTACGCTAGGTTTACACATCCAATCTCCGCATTCTGAACATATCCAGGTTATTTCGTCAGTTGGTAGAGCGGGTGGGTGCAAACGGCATTTCCAATCTTCCTCAGCTGTGGTAACCTGTAATTTTTATTAGAATCGTACCATGCATGCCACTGTAATGTTTGGTATTGTACGGGATACGCTTACAAAGGATCACAAGTAGTACGCACTTTTATTTCAAATGTCAAGTGGTCTATAAGCAGTAATTGTAACAGTTTTAAATAACAGTCCTTTGGCAAAACGTTCAGGTTGACGTTTCCGGACCGAAGTGTCATTTCCATGACATATACAGGTAGATCAGAATACAAATAGATACATTACATTATTATTGACAAAAACCAATACAGAGCGCGTTTCATAATTGCCGTGCAGCAACCCAGTTGCATGCAATGCAATCTCCCATTTTGCTTCCGTTTCGACAGAATGACTAAGGAAACGTTTAGCTTTATTGGAGCCAGATGTTCAAGTAGTCCAACAGTTTCAAAAATGGACGTGAGGTCGTTAAAGACCTAGAATTATCAGACACCCTTCAACGAGACGTGTAACTTCATAAACAATTGCCGACGAGCCAACAATATTCAAATTTACATCTCACAAAAACACCGCTAATAAAAAATATAGACCTGTTTATTTACATTAGGATGTTTGGAGACATCTCCTCGGTAATTTGCAATGTTGCATGTCCTCAATAAAGGCTAGTAAATCCCAGAAAGTGCTTTCTATCTATACAAGGGCGTACCCAGGAGCAGCTGCCTCCCTTACCTATAGCTCGGCAAAAATTAAATGGCAAGAACATTTTTTACAAAAATTAAATTATACATTCAGAGTTTTCCACAAGCTGAATCAATATCTATTAGTTGAGAAATGACTAGGATTAGTTGAAATCTATGCTAGATATAAAGACTCCACAACCCATCTGCCACAAAGTCAGTCCTTCTCCATCAGAACCTACAGTCATAGATCCTCAAAAACTCCGTCGACTACAGGGCACCTTATCATGGAAACAACGAAGATGCGGCGATGCAGCAAATCCAACCAGAATCGGACATGACATTTGATCTTTTTATGGCTCACAATGCTAATGGCCATTCGATTTCTGGTATGTTGTCACAGTCCTAGACGGCTACCTCCTGGAAGGAGTGTGGATTGTTAATTCTTAAGAACTCCTACTGCAAGAAAGGGCAGTCGTGCCGATATCGAGATCCACCGCCAATAAGATCATTCCGGGATGGAATGACTTTACCGAGGGGGCAGTGTGACGATAATAGATAGTACTGTTGGCGCCATCTATTAGGAGACTCTCCTTCCCGAACCAGTGACTCGCCTTCTAGATCTACGCCAGGTGACCTCAAATATTCTAGATGCCGCTTTGTCGCTCGCCATACCTCTCTCGAAGCAGCGATTCGGAGTATATATAACTCGACGGCCGGGAGATGGAAGCACGGTGCGGGGTACATTAGAGTAGAGCGGAGTGGAGTGCAATCAATGGCGCGGCATAAGAATTAGTTAGACATAAATAGTGGTGTACATAAATGTTCTATCTGGTCAAGTAAAGTAAAGAAGTGCATTTATTTTTGTGGAATCTCGAGTTTTAATCCACACCCAAAAGAACCCAGAAAAACACCACATTATATTCTGCGGTACAAGGGATTATATATTGAATGTATTTCGAATAAAAGACCATCCGCCTTTTGATGCACCAGGTAAGTATTCTAGAAATATAAGTTAACGAATGCAACAAATTCTTCAAAAGGCAACCCTAGCTTAAACTCATACAGATGTCACTCTTTATTGACAAAGTTTAATTCTGGCAAATCAATATTCTCGTCTTCAGCTTAGACTATGTGTGTGGTGTGGACATGTAATTATATTTTTCAATACAATACATCTGGTAGTAACAAACAGCATGTGACCACAAAGAATACTGCAAAGCTTGATCGTGAGACTGAAGAACTGAAACACGAAACCATTCCATTGGACGTTGGCAAGTTGATTCAGCAAGGGCGTCAAGCTAAAGGACTCAGACAGAAGGATCTTGCTACAAAAATCAATGAGAAACCACAGGTGATTACTGATGAACGGATTGCGAGCAAGAGGGTCAGCGTTGTCGCGCGCGCCAGAAGGGCTACATATTTTAAGTTTAATTAAGATTCCCTATTTCCAATAAGTTTATATCTATAGGGGTTCAGTGAATACAGTGTCTCGCAACTTAATCGTGGTATTATTGTCTCAGCCGTACCTTACCCTTGATGGTAGAGAGTCTCCCCAGAAACAGCTGAGTCAAGTCGGGATTATACACTTGTTGCCTCTTGGCCTACTGAGGCAAAAAAATGATTCCACCTGACAACGAACATGTGTTCCACAAAGACAACAATAACATGACGAGATAATAAATATCCATACGAGCTTGCCAGGTAAAATAGACCTTTGGAAGCTTACGGTCAAGAACAATATACAAAATTTCTTTGTATTGATGAACATTGGTCAGAAAATTATCAAATTTAGTGCACCTGCATAAATTAATTTTCACTGGTTTGTAGTATTTGCAGATCTGAGAGCAAGTGTGGTGGAACGGCCATCTTTGCCCATGAGTCTGTCATCTCCGAGGTCTGTCCTATCCATATTATCAACGAGCTGACGAGCTCTCTTTGGAATTTGTGATTGAATTTTCTCCAGTTAAAATTCAACGTTTTTGTCTGATTAATATATATATATATATATATATAACTTGAGACGTGGTCATTGTCGTCTAGACCAGTTAGGTGAAAAATTAAAGCTTCCGCCTTTTGTTGGGTACTTCGAGAAAATTTAAGCAAAGAGGACTCTTTATACTTGTTTTAATTCTTTCTAGCTTTCAATGGACTTTGCCATCATCATCAGTAACTGCAATTACAATGATAACAGTGGCAACAAAAGCGTAAATGAATTTAAATTGAATCAACTTACAGTAGTATGTGAGGATGTTGCTAATTGTTGTTTTCGTATAGGATGAGGGAAACGTCCAGTAACATGGTGAGAGCTGGATACATGGTGCAATGGTTAAAATTATATAAAATATGACAAGACATGTTAAAGACAGATTAAAAATTATTTAGAAAACATTAGAGCATTACGTCGTGAAGCCATTTGATGATTGCACAAAATGGTGGTCATGGAATAATGAGTGAGATGAACCAACAATTAGCACATCCTCACATACTACTGTAAGTTGATTCAATTAAATTCATTTTACACTTTTGTTGCTACTGTTATCATTGTAATTACAGCTCCTGATGATGATGGCAAAGTCCATTGAAAGCTAGAGGGAATTAAAAAGAGTATAGAGAGTCCTCTTTGCTTAAATTTTGTCGAAGTACCCAACAAAAGGCGGAAGCTTTAATTTTTCACCTATATATATATATATACCTGATGCAGGTAATTTTGAACTTTTTTAAGTCTAGCAGTTCTGAAGATGAGGAGATACTGCATGTGGAGAAAGAGATTTGGAGGAGACTTGGAGACATCCGAGACACTTTCTAGGATATCTGGAGACCTGGAGCCTTTGGATGGACAAGCCACTTCAGCACGTGAAGCAACCAAAGAAGGTTCGGACACCAGGATAAACCCGCTACCAAACATAAGAGACACAAGGAAGCTTCACGGGAAACGTCTAAGAGTAGATCGCCTACTGCGTCCTGCTGTAAACGATTTGCTAACTTTGAAGGGCAAGTCAGTCAAATATTGAAGAATTCTGTTTCAAGTTTCTTAGGGAGCATGATGGACTTAACGATCGGCACGTTAACATTGAACTTAATAGATTTTTCGATTCTTTCTGCTTCTGTTTTCAGACATGCTTTCCACTATTATCCAGAATCAGAAAATCAAGGAAAAAAATGCCCGATATAAAGAAGAAGAGAAAGGTCATACTTGGTGTCGAGGATCGAACTTGAACGAGATGAGGAAGCACATAAAAATTCTATCAAACGTAAGAGGAAGGAGTAGACGATATCCGTTGAAAAGAATGGTGGATAGTCACGAATAATTAAAGATCTGCTGGAGAAGGTTGTAGACAAAAAATCTGTGCTTCAGGTGCAAGTAAACAAAAAATATCAGGGTGCAAGGCATTTTAAAAAGAGGTCTGAAAAGACCTAGCGTTCCAAATAACTACGATCTTGGAAATAACCTCGGACGATCACGATGCTATTGCAGAAATTGCGACAAAGCAATGGACTGAGTCAACCTACAGGAGGACCAAGTGATTGATAGGAAACCCTCTGTGGGAAAGTACGGACTGCAGTGATCTGGTGCTGTGCATAGAGGCTGGACAGAGCACAGCAGGGTTTTCCTACCTCAAATAGAATAGACCAAAAAAGCTACTTCTATAAGGTAAAACTGCTACCAAATATAAGGAAGGGAAAAGGAACACTGAAGCTGTAATTGTGTCTCCCAAGATATATCCTCTGCTGATCTCCTGAGGAAACCTAAACACGAGGCTAAGTTTGACGAACTCAGAATAAGTGGATAATGTTAGATCAAATGGAAAGATAAAGATTCCAACCTAGCTATTCAGTATTGCAAAAAGAGAATACCTGTCAAGAAAATAACTAAAGCTAGAGGGTACAAGGGGCTACACTTACCTGGTGTAAATATCTACTAGTGCTACTTTTCGCCATATAGCCCATACAAGGAATTTGAAGACTACCTCGAAATACTTTGGAGACATTTTCTAGAAGCTTCATGCTTGGAGGTACCCAGGTCGTCTCTTCTAACTCACTAGCCTACCTAGGAGTTACCATAGACAAAGTGAGGTCATTCAGGCAGCATATACACCGGTGTAACCATCAAGGCAAACAAAGTTTCGGCCAAGCTTGCACGAATCATGTCCAACCATCGACATATCAAAGGTTATGGACCTGCCGTTCGCGTTTGGAATTGACGCCGGCGCAGTGCAAGAGAGACAGCACGTGAAGGATAGAGCTAACGCGGGCAAACGTCGTACGTTAGATCTGTATTGTGCATGTGTTTCTTTCACTGTGGAAAGCTTTACTCATATTTTTGCCTTGAAATTAGTTTTAATTGTTGATTTTTTCACAACTTCAAACCAATTACAAGATGGTGCAGTCTTGTTGTGCTATAAACTGTACGACCAGAAGAGAAAAGGGGTGAAATTAAAATTTCTGAGGTAGGTTATGGCCAGTGGTTATGGCAAAGATTACAGAATTAAATAACAGAAACTTTGGTCATGAAAAGGCTATAACTAGAGTTTTCTACTTTCAGTATACCCAAGGATCCCGCAAGGAGGAAACAGTGGTTAGTTGCCATAAGAAGGGAGAATTTTAATCCGAGTGATAGGACAGTTATATGCGAAAATCACTTTACAAAGGACGATTTTGAGCTGAATGTACATGAAATACAGTTCTCAAGAAAACTGCAGTGCCTTCTGTTTTAATTTCCCGTACATTTACAGCAAAAAGTAGTAATAAGGAGACCTTTAAACGAAAGATATCTGATAACAAAGGTTAGCCACTTCAGTACATAAGTAATGACTGAACCGTCTATTGATTAATATTATTTACAGAACATGGTGCTATTGCCAGTACAATCAGGCTAAATACTGAACCAGTATTAGGAGTTATGTCAAGTGAATCTGTCAGTGCTGAAAATGAGGATATAGATTCTGAGCAACCTACTACTACATCTCAAATGGAATTCCTAAAAGGTAACAGGATAACAGTTATTGCTATTTATTTCTATCTACTTGCTTACCTAAGCATTTATTAAATGAATTTACAGATCAGAAATTAGTTTCTTTCATTATGTGTTAAATGTTTCTTATTGTTTTAGAAGACGAAGAGATCCAATTTTCTTTGGGGACTTCAAAGAAAGTGATTTAGATGATGTGCAGAAGTGAAAAAGATTTTGGAAGGTAGCTCATCATACTATAGCAAAGTCTAGGAGAAATATCAGGTATTATCAGTGCATAGCCAGAAGACAAAAGAAGAAGATAAAAGCCTTAATTTATTGTTGGACGAATTGATGGAAAAAGAGAAAATTTCATCACAGCAGCTCATGGTATTGAAGGTAAACTATTTATTTTTTTGCATCACACATAGTTGGTTAGTTTGTTTTCTGTAAATACTTAGTAGTTTGCATCTTGTTCTTAATGTTCAACTGCTGCACAATAAAATCCTTTGATCAGTAGAATAATTACTTGCTCATGGGAAGAATGCGAGGCACATACACACATATGTATAGTTGATTGTATAGTATGTATATATGCTCCATGAAAAAAGCAGCGCACTAACAGGCTCCATTACCATTGTTTAAGCAAGGTTCTTTTTATATTTCTAGGAAAGTATTCCTGAAGTACAACAAGCCATACTGGTTAGGCACCTCAAAAAGGGCATCAAGGAGGAAAATATAGCCCTCACTGAGATGCTTTGCTTTAACATTAAATTTTTATTCTCTTCTGCATATCAGTATGTTAGAAAAGTGTTTGGCAAAAATTCTCTCCCGCATCCTAGAACACTAACAAATGTGTATTCTACTGTAGATGGTACACCGGGGTTTAGTGCAGAAGCAATACGGGCTGTCAAATGAAAGTTGACATTGAAAAAGGAAAAGGAAAGCACTTATAGCAGGTCTTGTGATTGACGAGATGTCCATTCGTTGAGCATGTACATTGGACTGGTAGTAGGAATGTTGGATACATTGATTATGGAACGGTATGCAGAATAGTGACCAATTACCACATGCAAAACATGTATTTGTGATAATGCTTGTAGGTTACAATACAAGGTGGAAGGTTCCCATTGCCTATTTTTTAGTAGATGCTTTATCTGCTGAAGAAAAGGCAATGTTAATTAAAGGGTCTTTCCTTCAGTTGGAACAACTGGGGTGCTGATTAAAAGTATCACATTTGATGGGTGTGCATCCACATTTCGATGGCAAATTTGCTGGGAGCAAAGCTCAGTTTTCCTGGAATGAAACCATATTTCATAAACCCAGTGAATAAGGAAAAAGTACATATCATTGTGGACGCATGCCACATGATTAAATTAGTACGTAATACTTTGGGTGATTGGGGCATATTATGTGATGGAAATGGAGATTCCATTAAATGGTATTATTTTAAAGAACTGGTGAAGCTGCAAGAGGAATCAGGGCTTCATTGTGCCACTAGACTAAGGTCTCGACATATTAACTATTACAAAGAAAAAATGAAAGTGAAGCTTGCTGTCCAGACCTTTAGTGCTAGTGTTGGTGATGCCCTAGAATACTGTAATCAGGACTTGAATATTACAAAATTAGAGGTAGTGAAGCAACTGTTTCTTTCTGTCGAAAAATTAACAATATTTTTGACGTTTTAAATGTTAGAAATTTCTATGGGAAACTCCTTGTAAAAGGCCTCTTTTCAAGGGAAACAGCGAAACCTTCAAAAATTTTATCAAAGAATCTGTAGAATATTTAAGTTCATTGACAGATCAAAAGCACGATAAAGTAATAGAAACAGGCAGGAAAACTGGTTTTCTAGGACTCATTGTTTGTTTGTTAAGTGTTAGGAATTTATTTGAAGATGTGGTTGAGGGTGATAAGTTACAGTTTTTATTAACTTATAAGCTAAGTCAAGATCATCTTGAAATGTTTTTTTCAGCAATCCGTTCAAGGGGAGGCTTTTCGAACAACCCGACTGCCTGGCATTTCGAAAATGCATATAAAAGACTCTTAATTCATAGTGAAATAACTACCTCAGATAGTGCAAATTGTCTGGCACAGGACAATACCTCGATTTTAAATATTACCATTGAAAGCAAAAATAACTCAATTTTTACTACTGACTTATTATATGTACAGACAGAATCTACAGATGCGGAAGATGAGTTATTCATTAAAAACTATAACACAATTGCCAACTGCACATATATTGGTGACATTGTTGAGTATATTGCTGGGTTTATCAGCAAGAAATTAGTTAAAGCATTAAATTGTAATGAATGTGCTAATGCTTTAACTTCGGACAATTCTTTGTCGCTGCTTTTAAATAAAAAAAATCGAGGAGGTCTCTGTAAGCCATCCAGAGATGTTGTGAAAGTGTGCATATGTGCAGAAGGCTTAATCAAATCAGAATCAAACTTTTCTGCTCTAAACCTTATGCTAAAATTGATATCTTTGTCGATAAGGAAACTCAATTTCGACACACTATTCGTTGGCTTGAAAGTCATTTCCAGGATCAGGATCCATTACAGAGCCATTGCCTGCAATTAATTAGGCTTATATTAAAAAATTACTTTTCAATTAGAATACACCACATCAACACTACAAAAAATGAACCGCGCTATAGCACAAGGCAACATCTGACCAAAACTATCACCTTTAGCCATCAATAATTCTTTTTTTTTATATAGAATAACTTTTTGTAATATCAATAATTATCATTAAGAATTGTTCATACTGTATTCTGTAGATTAAGGTTTTTTGTTTTGTAAGTACGTGAATAAAATTAATATTATATATATATTATCGTTTTTTTATCGAGTAGAAGTATAAAAATCCCATTCCCTTTGCCTAAATCTATTTTTATAAAGATATCATAACTTTAAAACCATCCAAATCCTGTTAAGCGCGCGGCTTTTTGCCGCGTTAGCTCCGTCTCTCTCTCGGATGTTTCTTTCTACGTTGGCTGCAAGCAGCTGTACGTACAAGGAATAGGTACGGGCGGGTCCATAACCTTTAACATGTCAATGTGTCCAACACACATGGTCCAAGCAGTGAGTGCCGCAAGGTGTTATACAGGGTAGTGCAGCCAATCATCCTGTAGCCAGGGCGTTTACGATGCTTTTTCAGAAATCGCGGGGATTTGGCTAAAGAGGTACGGCGCTCAGCTATTGCGGTACCCACTCCCGACTTTGCTAGAAAGGAGAGGATCAAAAAGTCCCTTGAATTCGTGTTCACCGGAACAAACATACAAGTTAGGCTCCAGACTCCTACCGAAGACCAAGCCAAATCAGCTAATATCAAGGGAGCTGCCACCAAATACAAGGAAGGAAAAAGGTGATGGAACACTGAAATCGTAGTTTTGTCTGCAAGGATATAACCTATGCTGATCTCCCGAGGAAAGTCAAACACGCGGCTTATTTTGACGAACTCAGAGTAACAGCGAAAGGGCGGAGGAGCATACCAATTTAACAAGATAGTGGCAGGGCAACCCTACAAGTCCGCAGTATGGCAGGTCTACTAGTGAAGACAAGCGGCATCTGTACTACCTCTCCGAGGACGTATAAATCAAGTCCGTCATTTCTGGACCAAATTCGCAAAGTGGACTAGCTCTAAACGGCGCCGATGTCCGACAGCGTCCCGCCGAGGGTGTGCACGGACATCAGTACCTCTGAGGACGAGGAGGAGGTTCGACCTCAGTCATGCTCAGTAGAATTCAATCTGCGAAGAAAAGTTGAAGCATGTTCTGTGCGTCACAGATATTACAAAATTTCATTTACCGTCGTCGATAACTTTCTCAGGATGCTTATCCACCGCGAGACCAGACTCATTCGGATAGCTCTCAGAAACCCTGGGCGCTGAGGATCACCCTGCCGAAGAGGCACATGTCATTCTTAGTGGAAGACTAGCAAGACCTGAAGGACCTAATGAATTCCACCCGGACCTCCCGACTGTGACGATCATATCGGGGTAAATCTGCATATTCAATCACAATCGCTTAAGAGAATGAATATGCATGCCTTCATTTTGCTACCAGACAACTGTAAAGCAGCAGAAAAAAATTCTTGAGTTGTGGACCAGCAGTTCTGAAGATGAGGAGAAACTGTAAGTGGAGAGAGATTTTGAGGAGACTAGTAGACATCCGAGTGACTTCCTAGGATATATTCATCCTTTGGATGGATAAACCACTTCCGAGCATGAAGCAACCAAAGAAGATGCCTGGGAAAACCCATCATGAGCGAGATAAACTCGCAACCAAACACATCTAAGAGACACAAGGCAGCTTCACCGGGGACGTCTAAAAGGCGATCGCCTACTGCGTCCTGCTGGAAACGATTTACTAACTTTGAAGGGGAAGTTGAAATCATATATCTCACTGGAGATGACACCGATAAAGAAGCGGAACATATAGAACGAAAAGATGAGAAAAACTAGAAGGATAATATGAAGAGAGAAAGCAGAAACTATAATAGTAAAAGATACAGGGTGCGGCAGAGAGGATGGTCGGTTTTAAAAAAATCATAAAATAGTTAATTTTTACTCGAAAACAAATTTATTGATGGAATCAAGTGTGGGAAATCACATCAGTCTTGTGGTAGCCGAAACCGTTGATGCAGTGCTGGAGGTTCTTGGAAGTTCGCGTAGACTCTCTCCAACATCGCTCTCTCAACTTGCGCGACTACCACGCGAATTTCGCCCTTCAATTCGTCCAGAGTTCGGGGCTTGTCCGCGTATACTCTAGCCTTGAGGTGTCCCCATAAGAAAAAATCGCATATGGATAAATCTGGGGACCGAGGAGGCCAATGAACATCGCCAAACCTGGAAATAAGGCGACCAGGGAAGAGAGGGTGAATAACGTCCATGGATGCTCGGGCTGTGTGGGCGGTCGCCCCATCCTGCTGGAACCACACACGTCGGATTGGAACACGTCGCCGTCGTAATTCAGGGAGAAAGAAGTTGGTGATCATGTCGACGCAGCGCTCTGAGATCACGGTAACATCACGACCATTACCGTCTTCGAAGAAGTAAGGGCCAATGATGCAAGTTTGCGATACGATAGCCTAATAACGACAATTCTGCTGGTTAACCACGCTGTTTAGATGAAAGTGGGCTTCGTCACTCATAAACAAAATGAGGTTCTCATTTTGATCAATCAGTGCTTACATCTCACGTGCGAAGTTCATTCGTTGTGCATAATCTCCAGGCTGAAACTGTTGCACAATGGACAATTTGTAGGGGTGAAAGCGGAGATCCATATGCAAAATTCACCTTACCGAACGATAACTAAGGCGAAGTGGAGCAGCATGTTTCCGGGCAGATCGAGTCGGACTGCGAAGAAAGACCTGTCGAACGCGTTCAACATTTTCAGGAGTTCGAACTGTTCGCGGCGCTCCTCTTGGTCTTCTGTTGATCAGTTCACCACGCTTGCGAAGTAATTCAACTCAACGAAGGATGGGTTTCGAGAGGGAAACAGCTCTATTCCGATGAATGT